CCTCTTTATATTTCAAAGTTAATTTTGTTATTCAACTATTGATTAAACTATATAACTCAGTTAACACTGAAGGGACTAGTTAAATCAAGTGGGATAAAACCCAAAGAAACGACACAGAGACAAGGATGCCAGGAGGTAGGTATTGGGGAAGCATCACACCTTCGCCTGCAGTCATCGTAGCAGCCGAACCAATGATGCAATTCGCAGGTTTGAGTTACATCGTGATATGGAAAATGTGGTACCCGAGTTTGGTGGTCGATCACTGCGGCAAGCTTACAAGTATGCGTCGTAAGACTTGTTGCCACAGTACGAGTTGCAATTTAGAATAACACTGCGGCAAGAACACTGTGGTACCCCCAAGTATGCCTTTATGCTGCAGTGACAGCACCACAATTATAAAGAGAACAACAAGCATGACAAGCAAATTCAAGTCATGCAAACAACATTTAATTCCAGCTTGATGAGATGATAGCATGGATGCTAATCAAATGATAAAACAAGAATAAAATTCAGATTAGAACATATCAAAACAATCTACAAATGTGACAATATTGCAAAAAGTATCTGAAGTACTCAAAATACAAGTTCTGTGCACAGTGAATGCACGAATAATAAAGCGAATACCAAATGCGAGTGAAATGACGAACAAAGTCAAATTAAATGCTTTCAAAAGTTTTGTGAAGAGAAGATGCACATTGTGTGCAACAAATGGTAAAGTACATACAAATAGAGCAAATAGAACGATGCATTGAGTCAAAATGGAATGCGATATGGTAATTTAAAAACTAATATGAATTAATTATAAACAAAAGGGGTGCGAATAAAGTAACAATAGGGTCTGCCTGGCATGACTAATGTATGTGATTTTGTGAAAATTGTACATATGAATAATTCGATAGTTGAGGGTCCGAGTAATGTTGTACCCTTATTCCAGTGTTTTAATATAAATTTTGTAAGCATCGCTCATTTATTCGGAAGCTATGGCTGGTGAATTGAGTGATGTTAGGTACACCACTCCGAGCAAAGTGTATTTGCAACTCATGTGTGAAAGCTTCTGGCGGTTAGGTAGTCACCATTGATGAATTGAAAAGCAAAGCTCTGTCTCAAGTGAGATGTGTTTACAGAATATTGGAGATACGCACGTACTGCACAGAGTCAGAAGCAGTCATGACAATTGTATGACCTTGTAATGTGCGGTTGTAGGGTGTTCCAGTTGGATATGTAATTGACATAGCCTACTTCGATATGTATGTCGAGGATGGCAGTCAGGTACAACATGGTTCTCACAGTAAAAAATTAAGTAGATGCAGTAATTAAAGCCTGAATCAAAGTAAGTAGATGAACTAGCTAACACAAATTTATATTATAGCTAATCAGTAATGGTGCATTTACTGCAGGTTAGTATTGTAGTATTATAAACTAGTGTTCAATGTTCAACTCATTAAAGAATAAAAAACAAACATTGACCATACTATGAGTAATAACAACCTTTGATGTCATATAGAGGTGGACTGTGAGGGTAAAAAACAAACGTTGACCATACTATGAATGATATCAACCTGTGAAGTCATATAGAGGTGGACTGTGAGGGTAAAAACCAAACATTGACCATACTATGAGTGATATCAACCTCTGATGTCATATAGAGGTGGACTGCGAGGGTAAAAACCAAACATTGACCATACTATGAGTGATATCAACCTCTGATGTCAAACAGAGGTGGATTGTGAGAATAAAAACCAAACATTGACCATACTATGAGTAATAACAACCTTTGATGTCATATAGAGGTGGACTGTGAGGGTAAAAAACAAACGTTGACCATACTATGAGTGATATCAACCTGTGAAGTCATATAGAGGTGGACTGTGAGGGTAAAAACCAAACATTGACCATACTATGAGTGATATCAACCTCTGATGTCATATAGAGGTGGACTGCGAGGGTAAAAACCAAACATTGACCATACTATGAGTGATATCAACCTCTGATGTCATATAGAGGTGGACTGTGAGGGTAAAAACCAAACATTGACCATACTATGAGTGATATCAACCTCTGATGTCATATAGAGGTGGACTGCGAGGGTAAAAACCAAACATTGATCATACTATGAGTGATATCGACCTCTGATGTCATATACACATGTAGAGGTGGACTGTGAGGGTAAAAACCAAACATTGACCATACTATGAGTGATATCGACCTCTGATATCATGTACGATGTATGTGTGAAGTTTTATTGTGATTGGTCCAGGCATTTCTAAGATACAGGTCCGGACGCACGCACAGACGCACGCACGCACGCACACACGCACGCACGGACACACGAAGGTCAAAACATAAGTCCCCGTTTTCGGACTGCGTCCGAACGGGGACTAACAACTTGGTGAGAGTATTGCCGACTGCACATAGAATAACACCGCTACTCTCACAAGAATTCTCTTGTACTGAGATTTCTTATCAACCAACCCACCAATGATAACCGAGTATGACTGAATGCTCGCAACAAAAATCAATGTAATGTGCTGGGTAAACATCAAAACAATCCTAGTTATCTGGTACAACTACACTTAACGATGCAACCTCTATGTCTTAGTTAACACAAGAGATCTGGTGCATTACTGCCAAACAATTATACACTCCCATGTATGCTGTTATAGTAGATTTATAGAGCCCTGCAATTACACACAACTGTTGACACAATCCAAGTAACACAATATCACCATGGTATTAATTAAACATGTTCAGGCAATGTCCACGCAATGAAACAGTATCAATGGTCAACAGGTCTATACATAACAGCGCTCTGTCATCTCAATGTATTTCAGCTCATTGGTAAGCATGTAACACAGGGATCATCATTTGCCAGGCTGATAATCAAGTAATCACAACCACTATTCACAAACACAAGACGATATTGTATTGTGAAATCGGGTTAATGTCAAACAGCCGACTCGATGGGCGCTACCATCTTCGTTGTCATGCACGGATACACTTGGAATGTCATATGGTTGTCACTGAGCAAACGTTTGTGAAATCATACGACTTGCCTCTTTATTTCGGTTCAAGGTTTGCTGTCGGCTTACTGACAGTCAATGGACATTGTCACAATTCATACTTGATATGCTACATATATAGTGAATCGCGGCACTTCTCAAGGACACCCCCCCCCAAATGTTTGCACCTGGCTCCTTTTTATGCAGATTAGGAACTTCACGCATATACGCACTATGCATGCTCGTCCTATCAGTCTTTCGCATCATGAAACTCGACTATGGCACCAGCCTCAAGTAAAAATGGTCATAAGCATAGCAAAACTGACATTACAGTAAAACTTAGAAATAGACTTGCAATATATTAACAAATCTTGTCATTGTACCCAATGACTGTGGAACAATTAAGTTCTTACCTATTCTCCTCAATCTGCATGGACACAAGAAAAACTAAGGCACAGTTCTGTATTTTAATAAAAAGGCTTAAGTGCTGAGACAGACCATAGACACAGAATCTCATAGGATGTCTTGTCTGTTTGCAAAAATCTTACGTACAAAATACCATTTGAATATTGTCCACTCATACTACACTATTAGACCTAGGTATTCCCCAATGGTGACGTGTCTAGAATCAATATTCTATGTAATGTGATTAAAAACATTGGTACCTTATCTTTATCTTCAATTTTCAATCCTTTCTCCAGTAAAAAAGTCAAGACATCGTCGTGGATACCAGTACAAGCAGAATGTAAAACAGATGCATTGTCCTATAAATATAAATACAAAATCAAGTAATAGTAAATTATAATCAAAACTAAATATTACAATTACACCCTCTTTTTACAAATCAAAAATGAAGATAGTAGCTTATACCGGTACACATGACCAAATCGATATACCAGGTACATTACCTGAATGTGTGAATTTTAAAAGGGGTATATTGATGTAAAAGCTCTAGTTTATAGGCTTATAAGAGCATAGTGATGTAAAAGCTCTAGTTTATAGGCTTATAAGAGCATAGCGATGTAAAAGCTCTAGTTTATAGGCTTATAAGAGTATAGCGATGTAAAAGCTCTAGTTTATAGGCTTATAAGAGTATTGCGATGTAAAAGCTCCAGTTTATAGGCTTATAAGAGTGTGGCGATGTAAAAGCTCTAGTTTATAGGCGTATAAGTGTATAGCGATGTAAAAGCTCTAGTTTATAGGCTTATAAGAGTATGGCGATGTAAAAGCTCTAGTTTATAGGCTTATAAGAGTATAGCGATGTACAAGCTCTAGTTTATAGGCTTATAAGAGTATAGCGATGCAAAAGCTCTAGTTTATAGGCTTATAAGAGTATAGCGATGTAAAAGCTCCAGTTTATAGGCTTATAAGAGTATGGCGATGTAAAAGCTCTAGTTTATAGGCGTATAAGTGTATAGCGATGTAAAAGCTCTAGTTTATAGGCTTATAAGAGTATAGCGATGCAAAATCTCTAGTTTATAGGCTTATAAGAGTATAGCGATGTACAAGCTCTAGTTTATAGGCTTATAAGAGTATAGCGATGCAAAATCTCTAGTTTATAGGCTTATAAGGGTATAGCGATGCAAAATCTCTAGTTTATAGGCTTATAAGAGCATAGTGATGTAAAACCTCTAGTTTATAGGCTTATAAGAGTATAGTGATGTAAAAGCTCTAGTTTATAGGCTTATAAGAGTATAGCGATGTAAAAGCTCTAGTTTATAGGCTTATAAGAGTATAGTGATGTAATAGCTCTAGTTTATAGGCTTATAAGAGTATAGCGATGTAAAAGCTCTAGTTTATAGGCTTATAATAGTATAGTGATGTAAAATCTTTAGTTTATAGGCTTATAAGAGTATAGTGATGTAAAAGCTCTAGTTTATAGGCTTATAAGAGCATAGCGATGTAAATGCTCTAGTTTATAGGCTTAAAAGAGCATAGCGATGTAAAATCTCTAGTTTATAGGCTTATAAGAGTATAGCGATGTAAAAGCTCTAGTTTATAGGCTTATAAGAGTATAGCGATGTAAAAGCTTCAGTTTATAGGCTTATAAGAGTATAGCGATGTACAAGCTCTAGTTTATAGGCTTATAAGTGCATAGCGATGTAAAAGCTCTAGTTTATAGGCTTATATGAGTATAGCGATGTAAAAGCTCTAGTTTATAGGCTTATAAGAGTATAGTGATGTAAAAGCTCTAGTTTATAGGTTTATAAGAGCATAGC